ATAGCATGACATGATTTTTAAGTTTGATGGTCAGATTTTGAACTAGACAAAAATGTAACAACTTATTATATATAGACGGCTATTTTAAAACTTAATAATAAAAGCCAGTCATTAAAAGCCCATAGTTCATCCTGAATAAAGAGAGTTAATCTATAATAATGGTTCATCTATCTATATATAAAACTCAAAGGTGACTGACTGACTGACATAGTGATCTATCAACGCACAGCCTAAACCACTGGACCGATCGGGCTGAAATTTGGCATGCAGGTAGATGTTATGACGTAGGCATCCGCTAAGAAAGGATGTTGATCAATTCTACCCCCAAGGGGATAAAATAGGGAATGAAAGTTTGTATGAAACTTTGTCAATTTTAAACCGATCGGGCTGAGACTTTGCAAGCAGATATAAGAAGAATCATAGATGAATGTCATTGTACATAATACAAGCCTGAGAACAAAAACTGTACTCTACACTTCAGCTCTATACCGAAGCGAAGCGAGGGCGGGCCGCTAGTCTTGAATAAAGAGACTTAATTTATATAAAGTCTCTTTAATTACTCTTTTATAAAAAAAATACTAGTTTCCAATTACGAAATTTTATTTGCGAAATTGGTAATTGAAAACGTTAAATAATAAAATTTTAACCTATAGTGCGATGCAAACTTATCTCAAAGTAGCTGTGAAGTTCGCGCAAGTCACTGTACAGTAAACGAACAATATTTGCTATAACTGCGAGTAGTTTCGCAAGCTGCTGTTTAACTTGACAACCGCCATAAAGATTGATCCGCACCGTAAATATTATTACTTATAGATTTCTCTATTAATCTGTCTTAGTAAACCATTGGGAGATTTCAAACTTCCTTTCACAGAAGGTTGCAAAATCATAACTACATTTTATAGTGTATACTTCTGTTGGTGAGTATAGTTCGAGTTTGGTTCGACTTGTAGGAGATTTGATTGAGGCTAACAAAGCGAGTGCTTTTTTTTAAATATTTAAAGTCAAGCCACGGATTAAATAAAGGTTGGAAGGCCCTCGTGTGTGTGACACGTTTCACAAAAAAATAAAATAAAAAAAAATGACACAGACATGGATAAATGATTGGTCTCGCTGCGGTCGACCACAGAGACTTATCATTTATCTAAAGGTTGATGAAAAAAGAATCAGATATTTCTTTGCTTTTTCACTGTATATAGGCGCGAAGATACTGTAAAGGTATTTTTGTTCGATGGCGTGGGTGGTTAGCGCGTTCAGCTGCGATCGTTGAAGTTAAGCAACTTTCGCATTGGATGTGTGACCAAAAATCTTCTATCTCGAGTTCCTCCGTGCTTCGGAGTTAAGCCGTTGGTCCCGGCTGTAAATGCAGTCATTAGCATCCACCAATCCGCACTGGGCCCGTGTGGTGGGTCATGGCCAAAACTTGGGATCCATAGGGAAGGCCTGTGCCCCAGCAGTGGGGACATTAATAGGCTGATGATGATGAAAAATAACTCCTTGGTTTTACTGTTAGTATGCTGTGCTTGTTAAGATATCAAAGATGTCATTTAAAAAAAAGAAATTATACAGTTAGTAACAGTGGCCCGTCATTATGTATGCAAGCACCTTCTGTAATTTGTCGCTTCTTTTCCGTTGTTCAATTTGGACGTCTCATTGATAAGACGAAGTAAAAAATCATTTAGCCTGTACCCATTGACCAATTGAACCACGAAAATCATTTTTATTCTGGTATCGCTTTTCTATGAAATCACCAATAGAGATCAGTGATCAAAATGAAATCCTACTTCAAAAGTCTAGAAGATGAAGTCTAGTTATGATAATGAAACTTACTACTTATTATAATGAAATCTTACTATAGACAATTTTGAAAATAAATGACGAGTTTGTGTAAAAAAAAAAAACGAAAAATCTTTTTTTACATATGACACTGTCTACTATTCCCCGGTTCAATCGTACAAATAAAGAGTCACTTGTTGATAGCCCCATGTTCGTTGTTAGCTAATATGTAGTGGTGTTTAGGAAAAGGACTATCTACATTTAGTTATTTTTTTTATTAAGTTAGCTACAGTATTATTCAAAGCTTATTTTAGATGCTAAACCTTTTTCGTTGAGAAGATACGAAGATATTTTCCAAAATTATAATTTGGTGTTCGAAAAGAATCTATTATAAATCGGCAAGTTATTAAGTTCTTTTATAACTCAAAGTCACATTGTGAAATATTTCATCCAAATTATCCTTTTACAATGTCGTATGGATTAACGCAATTATATTATTAACTTGTTTGTGTCATCTATAAAAAGGAATAAAGTGTATTAAATCTATAATGCTCAAAGTATTAAACTGGAAGAAAATGTCTTTAGATTTATTAATCATCCAGTACTTTCACTTGGAAAAACGCGGTCCCATCAGAGTGAAAAAGTTAGTGAATTTTAATGTTTTTCTCGCATAAACTTCAGTTGCTAAATTTCTAATGTCTCAGACTCCGTCTGTTACCTGAGGCAATATGACTTTTTCTAGTAAATTTCTGTAGATGTAGGTAAAAATATTCCCATTTATCTCACTGCTTTTGAGTTCCAAGCCCCACCTGTTTACGGTTTATGCAAAATTGTATCAATTAAATTTGTATTTTTTTATTACATAGAAATACCTAAGCAGTTCTTTAGATTTAAATTTGTGAGCAGAAATTAGTTTGGTAGGATTATTTAAATCCCAAAAGTAAATCCTATTATATGGAATGAAACTTAAGTTCCAATTATTTGCGTTACTAATTTCAAATTTGATTAAAAACGTTTTTTAACAAATAAAATTTTGGAAAATTTAAACGGTTTTTAGATTTTCTTTTTGTATTAGACACAAGTTACAGATTTAATTTTTAAATTATCTTTTTTATTTTCATCTTATATAACATGCCTTAATTGTATTTTTTATGAGTCTACATTTATTAATATAACTAGTTAATATAAAATTACATGAAATAAACTTATCAATAATATAAATTTATACTCCCAGTGCTGCATATGGGTATACCTATTAAAAGTCAAAACTAGTACTTATTTTCGTGAAAAAGATTAAAAGACGGTTTTTTGTCACATTAACAATATGTTTTAAATTAGGATTTCTTTTCAAAAAATACTCACATTAAACTACTTACTTACAAAAATCGCACTGAAAGAATAGTAGTCAAAAAGTGCTTGGTTTCATAGGGAAAAAAGAGTTAAAAATGTGTTTCAAGTTATAATATTATTCAATCTTTAATAATTGTGACGTAGTGCTCTTTGTGTTCTTTTATAACAATAATTAATTATGATAATTTTCTTTTCGACTTTAATTATATAATTATGGATAATTATAGAATTTATAGTACCTACCTAAATTTAACTATGATATCAACATTAACATGATGATTATGGTTATCTTTAGAGTGTAAGTTATTTCTCATCATAAACTACCTACTATTTTAAATAATAGAATTTAGTATGAATAATACTTATTTAGCTCTTAATAATCTCAAATGTTTTAAAAATCAACTTGACAATAGCGACAGGAATAGATTTACCTGTCTGTAAAATATATGTCAGTATCTTTTATAATGTATTTTGAACTAAAATGTGTTTGTAATATTCACTATCGTGGATCCTCCTTCACCTGCCCACGCGAATTTATCGATCCCACAACCTCTTTGATGTGTTTCAAAAGCACATCAACTGCAGTCAAGTTATCGTTTGCGTCTATCGCCACGCAGCACGATACTTCGTTACGATAGTCCCTAATGACTTCTCTCTGCATCTATCGCGATCAGAGACGAAGCTTTGTGGCGACGGACGCAGGTGTGGGAAAAACAGTTGATTCGCACTTTATAGATAACTTTCATTTTATTATTTTATGTTTGTGTAAACTTTTGTTAAATTGGTTTTATAGAAAAAGGAGTGTATCATAAAAGAAAGTTAGATACATTCTAAATCATGTTTGGGTAAATTTTGTATGACCATTCCTTGTAAATCTCGGGTGAACCGGTTCTCTAACCTTTCTGTAGTCCGGCCATTGCCTAACTTCAATCTTTCTTACTATCACGATATCTTTCGAATTGTATATTTCTTATTTACAAATGTTACGTAATACAAGTATAATGCACATTTGTAAAGGTTTCTTTCAAACTGAACACTGCGTAAATATATTTTTTTTTTATTTTGATTTGGCATTTAGAAAATACCGCAATGTAAAATCTGTTGCGTTGAGAAGCTTATAAATATAAATTTCGATTGTTCCTGTTTATTTCGTTACATAAATAAGTTAGAATGTACGTACTACAGTCATATATATTTTTCGATTGTAAATCAATTTATTATCTTATTCTAATCAATATTTGATAGAAGTATTTTATATACAAAACTTTACTAAAAGGCATAGATTTATAGTTATTTCAAATACGCCATGGTCCTTTAATAATATTTAATTTTATATAATATAATTACATATTTTACGAATGCCGGTCCGTTTCATAGTAACAAAGGAATAATACCATTGTATTCCATCTTCATATTTGAAGAGTAGGTACATTTGCCAATGTGAATTGTATTTAATTATATTATTTTTAGGCTGACATTGGTGTCGATTCTAGCATGATTCTCTAAACCTAAACTTAAATTTGACAGCAGTATATCCTTGTCATTCTCTATACAGAATGAAAAGGATAGACTGATGTTAAATTCAGTTTTAAGTTTAGAGAATCACGCCAGAATTGGCACCAATGGCGTCGATTCTAGCATGATTCTCTAAACTTAAAACTAAATATGACATCAGTCTTATCTTTTCATTCTTTAAAGAGAATTACAAGGATACACTGTTGTCAAATTTAAGTTTAGGTTTAGAGAATCATGTCAGAATCGGCACCGTAGTCACCCAACCACTAGATTATAAAATATATTTTTCATTATATTAATGCAATGAATAAGTATTAACTATGTTTTATAGAATCAAAAGATGTTAAGTCAGCCAATTTCACGATTTACCTCTTAATGTTTCTCCCGTCAGCTTCTCCCTTCCTCTGCGCGACGAAGCTTTGGTGCTTAATGGCGCTAAAAGAGTTCGAATTTGAATTTGTGCTTTTGTAAGTACGATCATTCAGCTGCTCTTATAAAATTATCGTTTTCCATAATCTCTTTTATGAGTTATATATTTTTTTAATCACGTAACTGCTCGAAGTTTAATTCCAAAGAAAATATTACAAAAAAAAACATTCGGACCAGGCAGCAGACGGGACTCGAACCCGCACCCTTCGCTATCCGGGCTATAATTACTATTTCTTCTTTCAAATGTTTCATAGTTGTAAAGGTATTCATTTGACATTGTGGGTTACCTACAATGCGAAGACATGGCGCTGCCGTGCAGCTTAAGAAAGGCTAGAAAGAATTCGACGTGGCCATCAGGGTCGCGGTGGCATAATGGTCAGTGTATGCGCCCGGATAGCGAAAGGTTCGGGTTCGAGTCCCGTCTGCTGCCTGGTTCGCGTGGAACTTTTTCTAGTATTTTTTTTATCGTGTCTAAAATCGCCAGCCACACTATCGTCTAGCGTCTATCGTACCGCAGCTCGATAATTCAGTACGATAGAACTAATTTCAATTTGGAACGATTATTTTAGCGCCATTAAGTACCAAAGATGTGGCATGATTTTTCTACCACACTTGCGTAACGAAGCTTGGGGTGTCTTTGTTACTAATGGCGCGAATACACTGGGTCGTTAGCCCGAATACGAGTGCCAATGGAATTCGGGTAAACGACTAAGTGTCAAATAAACGGAGTCGAGTACGCCTGTGTTCGGGTAGATTTCCTTTTGTTTACCCGACACCGTCTTCCAGTCCGTATTTCAGTGTAAATATTACTCCGAGTGCCCGAATATGAGTAATGTCTTTCGCGAACCCGAATACGACGGGCTAACGACTAAGTGTCGCCGCACACGGGCCACCGACCACAACCACAAAACGCCGCCACCGGCATATTTCCTGTAGTTTTCATACATTTTATATGGACTCGCCGCACACGGTACGCCGGTGGCCGCCACACGCTTCAAATCGTCGTTGCTCGCTTCTTGTGGCCCGCACCGGCCACTTAATGCGCCGATACAAAACGCCGTCACACGTCACTCGCGCGATTCCCCACCCCTCTCTCCCTTACCCTAGTCGGCCGCTGTCGCGCGGTTCAGCCACTTTAGTAGCCGCATCTAGCTTTTCGTGGCGGCGTTTGTGGCTGTGGGGTGTGGCGACTTTTAGTGTCGCCGCACACGTGCCACCGGCCACAACCACAAACGTCGCCACCAGCATATTTCCTGTAGTTTTCATACATTTTATATGGACTCGCCACACACGGTACAAATCGTCGTTGCTCGCTTCCTGTGGCCCGCACCGGCCACTTAATGCGTCGATACAAAACGCCGCCACACGTCACTCGCGCGATTCCCCACCTTCAAAACTTTTTCGTCAGAGTCCATTATTAACATGTGTTAAAAAAAGTAGCAGCCACCGATGGCAAGTGTCGACCACCGGCCACAAGTAGCTGTAGCGCGCTTCAGCTACCTTTGAAGCCGCTTCTACCTTCTCGTGGCGGCGTTTGTGGCTGCGCGTGGCCCGTATGCGGCGACACTAAATGTAATTGCCGTATAAAATCCGCTAACATTAGCGTTCGAACAAATCGAAGGTTAATTTCAGCGCATTTAGTACCAAAGCAGGTGTAAGAGAAGGATCAGTAAACAATAAAGTCTCTTTGAATTTATGTCTAACTAGTCAAAGACCCGACATTCGTAGAATACAATCTAGACTAGATGCTTAAATACTGAATTCTAATATCTATAACATATTGGAGTTCGTTGAAATTGACAGTACAGAACGTAAAATTGGAATAATCAATCTTTCTAATGATCTATATAAAAAAATCAACAAAAATATTTTTTAATATGTGTGAAATACATACATAGTTTTAATAAATAATTCATTCTTAAATTTACTCTAACTGAAACAGGTATACAAATCAAAAACGTTACAAGCTAAGTACGTACAGAAATAAGACTATCTTATCAATATGATTATTATTATTTTGTTCTATTAATTATATACATAAAGATTTCAATAAAAATACACATTTCAATAGTTTTATTTAAATTAAATGCAAATAGTCAAGAGAAAATATTTGCAAATATCCTGCGTTATGTATGTAAATTTAGTTGTAATTTTTTTTGCAGTCAGCTATGAGGGATATGAAACATTGCATTATAATTAGCTGAAGTATAGCAAATCTAAAACACTTTATTAGATTTTCTAAATATGCATCAGGAATTATAATCGAATACACACTAAAGTACCGAATGATTTCAGATAGAATTTAAAATAATAAATAAATTAAACCAGTATTATACCTATTATAATTATGCATGATAAGTTATTATTACCACATAAGATATTAAATATCCGTTATATCCCTGCCAGCAAGCAAACAATACATGAATATTGAATAGCTATTTCAATGAAACATGGTTATTGTTGTGAATTTTAAAGGACTATTATTGTAATAGACTATAATATTATATAAATCATGTTAATTAGACAACATTGTAAGACCAGATAATTATATAATATGTGTTTTTATAAACAGTGTTATGAGTTCTTGAAAATCTCATTGTAATTGTTGCGTATTAATGTGTAATTTGCTATTTTTGACGAATTTGTTGTTTGCCTTTTTTATCGGTAAATCAAGGTACCTATTGATTTGCATGATCAAATTTCATTTTCAGTCACCACTTTATTGTTTGCAGTAATAGAAAATATGCCGTTATATGTCTATGGAACCAAAGAATATCTTCAAAAGCTGTGTGCAGAAATAGAAGCGCCATGATGGCGCCTTAACCCGCGCATACTGGATACATGGTAATTTAAACAAACTCATTTACGTTATGATAAACAAATAAAAGTGGTAATACTGATCAATAATAATTAACTAACTACAATATAGAATAAATATCTTCTCTTCAAAAGCGATATTAAACGTTTTCTTCAATATTTTTTATCATGTGTATTTTTATATCAATTCCATATGCGTTCATTTTGACTAGAGAGTTTCGTTGCCGCCATTATTATGCTAGGTTGATGTTGACACCGACCCCTGCGACGAAGTCGTCGCGTATCAAAGGCAGTAGGGCGGCGTGCCTGCGAACAAAAATATGTATTTATAAGTAGTTCCGACAAATGACTCCACCCCATCCGATCTTAAGTGACGGTGGAGTCTAGACTCGAAGATACAGCAGCTGGTACAGCAGTTTTACCCGCCATACCAGCCATTCTCACTTTGCCGTATAAAAAGTACTACTGAAAGTTTTTAAATTAAATTTCAGCAATTATCGTACTGGTAGGCGATAGATTAACGAACGCGAACACCCCATATCGGTTGTGCGTGAAAAATCCTACGGGGATCCTGTAGCATTACCCAACACAATACAAAATTCCTACTGGGATCCTGTAGCATTACCCAACACAATACAAAATTCCTACTGGGATCCTGTAGCATTACCCAACACAATAGAAAAATCCTACGGGGATTCTGTAGTATTACCCAACACAATACAAAAATCCTACGGGGATCCTGTAGCATTACCCAACACAATACAAAAATCCTACGGGGATCCTGTAGCATTACCCAACACAATACAAAAATCTTAAGGGGATCCTGTAGCATTACCCAACACAATACAAAATTCCTACTGGGATCCTGTAGCATTACCCAACACAATACAAAAATCCTACGGGGATTCTGTAGTATTACCCAAACAATACAAAAATCCTACGGGGATCCTGTAGCATTACCCAACACAATACAAAAATCCTACGGGGATCCTGTAGCATTACCCAACACAATACAAGCGATGACGAATTGCGTGAGGTTTTATATATTACTTACCAGTGTGGCACAGGCCGGGCGAGCGCGTGCTTGTGCGTGGCGTGCTACCTAATGTTAGTCGTGAGCATTAACCCTTGTATGGCGCCGCCATTTAGTACTAAACTTTTTATTTTAATGAAATTGTAGTGGTCCAGGAAATGAAGCTAAAAAAATGGTAAAACCTCGCAATTTTTTCGTCCAGCACCGATTTGTACAAAAATTTGGGATTAGGCTTATTTTGACCTCTAGTTCATTTTCTTGTACCGTTGAACGCTTTTTGTTTTTTAGGGGTGAAATCAAAAATTATAAAATAAAATTAAAAACCTAAATATGGGTAAAAATAGTTAAAAAATGATTGTTTCATGCTTTAGGATATAATTTCATAATCTTTCAACTTACCCTTGTTAAAAACTACCCTTAAAAATATTGAAATTTTTTTTCGAATAAAAAAATTGATTGCTTTTTAAGCATAGCTCCTTCATTTTAGGTGATAGTTTTTTTTTTCAGAAACGATGTGGTAGAGCTTTTCAGGAGCTATAAGACTATGTGAATTAGATTACATAAGATCCCTTAATTTTTAAATGGGGAGAGTTTAAAAGGCTTTATCTCGCCGAATATTCACTGTACAAAAAATATGCACACATGGGTATTTTTGTCATTAAAAAAGCTACAATTTAGTACTATATCGTTTTTTTCGTATCTTTAGTATTTTGGGAGATATTTTTAAGAAAATGGTGAACACGAAATTGAAAAAAAAACGGTTTTCTCTTTAAACTCCAATTTTTCTAAAATTTGGCATTTTAAATTGGTCAAACTTCGTGGGTGTATTAATAATACATATATACATATAGAGAATTATAGAAGGATGGCGATCAATTTTAATTAGGGGGTTACTTTAGGGCTTGTTTTCACAGATTTTTTTCGTAGAAAAAAGCGGGTACCGATCTTATTTTGATCGTAAGTCGGTCAATTTTCATGCTAGAGACATTTTTTTTTATTTGTTTGAAAGCGATCTATTTAATTAAATACTTTAAAAAAGATTCTATGAGCTTCCTTCGAATAATGCAAATTTTTCTCGTTATTTCGCTGTAAATCTTCCAATTTATGCTTTAACGAAAAAAGCTAAGCATTCATTTGCTGTATCTTAGTTTATATTTGTCATAGAAAAATTATAAAAAGCATTGTTTTCGTTTTTTTAAAAATTACAATTTGACGCTACAATTTTTTTTTGATAAAATGGCGCGTTTAGTGGACGGACGCTATGTGTACGGTGTTAAGTGAGTTGGTTGTCTTACTCACTCGTGCGGCGCGGGCCAGGCGGGCGCGTGCTTGTGCGTGGCGGCCCGGGCGCGGGCCAGGAGCGTCATGACGGCGCGTTTAGTGGACGGACGCTATGTGTACGGTGTTGACTGAGCTTGTTGTCTTACTCACTCGTGCGGCGCGGGCCAAGCGGGCGCGTGCTTGTGCGTGGCGGCCCGGGCGCGGGCCAGGAGCGTCATGACGGCGCGTTTAGTGGACGGACGCTGTGTACGGTGTTGAATGAGCTTGTTGCCTTACTCACTTGTGCGGCGCGGGCCAGGCGGGCGCGTGCTTGTGCGTGCCGGACCGGGCGCGGGCCAGAAGCGTCATGACGGCGCGTTTAGTGGACGGAGGCTATGTGTACGGTGTTGACTGAGCTTGTTGTCTTACTCACTCGTGCGGCGCTGGCCAGGCGAGCGCGTGCTTGTGCGTGGCGGCCCGTGCGTGGGCCAGGAGCGTCATGACGGCGCGTTAAGTGGACGGACGCTGTGTACGGTGTTGAATGAGCTTGTTGCCTTACTCACTCGTGCGGCGCGGGCCAGGCGGGCGCGGGCCAGAAGCGTCATGACAGCGCGTTTAGTGGACGGAGGCTATGTGTACGGTGTTGACTGAGCTTGTTGTCTTACTCACTCGTGCGGCGCTGGCCAGGCGGGCGCGTGCTTGTGCGTGGCGGCCCGTGCGCGGGCCAGGAGCGTCATGACGGCGCGTTTAGTGGACGGACGCTATGTGTACGGTGTTGACTGAGCTTGTTGTCTTACTCACTCGTGCGGCGCTGGCGAGGCGGGCGCGTGCTTGTGCGTGGCGGCCCGTGCGTGGGCCAGGAGCGTCATGACAGCGCGTTTAGTGGACGGACGCTGTGTGTACGGTGTTGAGTGAGTTGGTTGTCTTACTCACTCGTGCGGCGCGGGCCAGGCGGGCGCGTGCTTGTGCGTGGCGGCCCGGGCGCGGGCCAGGAGCGTCATGACGGCGCGTTTAGTCGGCGACATGGCCGCCCGCGCGCCGCCCAGCAGCGGCCGCTTGCGGGCCACGCTCGCACCCCCCCCACCCGCACCTGCGGGACGACGTTAACATATCTACATGCGCTTTGCAAAAGACTTGCGATCTTAGCAATCACGCGATTCATTGGCGAAGCTAAGGATTTTCCCTAGGGGGCAGCCGTCCAGTTGAAATTGATATTCATCTTGAAATTAATTTATGCTCTGTACATGTTTTTATATGATATTAAAATTTCAGAAAGTTTTCTAGGGTGGGGCATTGCTCACCTTTGCTCCTCCCAGCTTCGTCCATGACTAGTAACCATGACAAGTCCATGGAAGTTTTAATAGTGTATTTTTTGATTTGAACGCCAATCTAATTCCACTTATGGAATAACAAAATGGACTGCGAATGTGCGTGACCCTAACCAACTATCAAGTAAACCCAGTTTTACTTCATCCAACTCATAATTCGAAGTAGTTATCAATTTTATGCGAGTTTCCTTCAGTCTGTTTGCTGTTTATGGTTAGACCTTACACTACAGCCAAATCGCAAAATATTTTGTGTGGTGTTGTGATCTTGCAAAGGAACACTTAAGATCAGGTTAGTTGACAAGATACGGTAGTATATTTTCTATGCCTTCGTAAATTGTTGTAGTACTAACTAGAGAATTTTATAAAATTCAAATCTCATTTAATGCGTGACCAGTTATCTTAAATATTGCACCAGTACCCCAAGCACGAATTCTGACAGAATATTTGACATGTCAATACGAATACTTTCTCGCCAGTTAGTCGTGCTAGGGGCAAGGACTACTAATTCTCAAGGACTCGTAGCACAGAATTACGATGTTTATTTGTAGGTCATAGACAAAATGCGAAGGACTCATGGAGGTTAGAGGGAAGGAGAACGATCGCTGTAGAAAATAGTGTCCCAGAAATATGGACAAAATAAGTGAGGCGTTGCGATCGCTAAGTTTTCACAATAAAAGCGGGCTGTTCTGCGCTAATTTGAATTTGTACATTATTCAACTAACTTCATCTACTTGTACTCATAAGCAGCTAACTTCACAGATACTACTTACCGACTGCAGTGCGGCTGGTGGCTGAAAAATGAACTATAAATTCTACAAATTTTCAGGGACAGACGGGCTAATGCTTTAGCGATCGCTCTCCTCTCTAACCTCCATGGAAGGACTCGTAGCTAACGCTATCACTTCACTTGACTATTTGCGTTTGCTACTTGTCAACTTGGTATCAGTCTGTCCTTTTCATTCCTCATAAAGCATGATAAGGACATACGGTTGTCAAGTTTACGAATAGCCAATAAGAGTTTAATTCAATTTATTGCACTCATGTGGTTACAACGATGGTTACAAAATGCTTATCGTACCTTACATGAACCCTGTCAGGGTATCGCAATATACAGTCTTAAAGATAAAAATTACAAAAGAATTTGATTGATAAACAATTATGTATATAAGGATTGTATTAAACCACTTATATCTCATATTATGCATAAATGTCATTTGATTCCATTAGTTTAACAATATAACTTACTCAATTGATCTTATTAACGGTAGAAATATAATAGAAATGGAAATTCATTTATAAAATTAAATTAAATTTGTCAGTAATTAAAATTATAGTCTGTGCATTCATTTATTATCTTTTTGACAGGTCGATCGAAGTAAAAATAGTGACACCCTATCACATAACTCGTTCGATTTAAAGCTATAATCGATATTTTGCTATAACATTGGTTAATCGATTATAAGTATCGAAATTATTTTAGTTATCAAAAAAACTGGTGTTTAATAAATAATTACAAAACCTCATTAGATTTATTATTTTACCTAGTACAAATATTTGTGCTTTGTTTGTGTATTTGCACGAGTAGTTGTTCTGTGTCTGGGTGTGATTTATCTATAATATGCTTACTGCTTTTTATATGTTTGTTTATCCTAATACTACTACTCTGTACAATTAGATTTATTGATTATAATTGATAATTTCATTTAAAAAAAGGTTTATAAAAAAATCTATATCTTTGACTTTTGACTCCATTTTGTTTCTAGTTGTACTCATTTATCTGTAATCTATGGCACAATCTTAGTAATCATTATGTGTGGCACATCACTAAGTGGGCGGTACCCGTCCATGAAATGAAGTACAATATTATTTTGACGACCTCCGTGGCCGAGTGGTTTGTACGCCGGGTTTCATGGTGTCGCCGACTCGAGAGGTCCCGGGTTCGAATCCCGGTGGGGACAGATGTTTGTGTGATGAATACGAGCATTTGTACTCCAGTCATGGATGTTTAATATGTATTTCTATATAAATATACTTATATATGTACTGTATATGTATTCTATCCGTTACCCTAGCATCCCATAACACAAGCCTTTACAGTGCTTACTTTGGGGCTACGCTAATTGGTGTGAGTGTTGGAAGTTTTTATTTATTTGTATGAAATTTTAACGTAAACAATACAAAATCTCATGGGCGTCGATCTGTCAAAAAGATAATAAATGAATGGACAGACTATAGTTGCGATGTTTGTTTGTTTTTCATAGATAAAGTGCGACGTACCGACCTTGCGTCGCTAGCGCATGCACGGCGGCCGGCTTCACCCCCCTCAGCGCTGGGTGCGCGTGTAGCACCCCGCCCAGCACTGGGCTGCTGAGCCCCAGGATGTCGCCGCCACCTAGTGTTAGTTGTTACTGGGCTTAGTTTAAAGTTAACAATGAAACAGCCAAGCTTAGAAAGTGACTACAAATAAAACTAGTTTTTCACGGGTTAATGCACGAAACTTTATTTATTTATTGTCGTCGGAATCAATTTTTTATTTAATTTTGTTGAGCTACCTTCGAAAGACTTTATTGAGCGTTCGGTTATTTCATTGTTCGATTTTTAAAGTTTTATTGTCTATGTATGAATTTATTACTTGATTTAGTTAATAAAGTACTTTATTTAAAAATCTTTTTTGTATTTATTTGACCCTAAGTACCGTCAACTACCACCGGTTCCAAAATTGGGAGATCTTTCTGAGAAGAGCCGGCGAAACAAACTCAAGAGTGGCTTTCTATCTCCTTCTTATGTAAAATTATGCAAACAAAAAGAACTAATAGTATCTGTTGGTCTTGCAGTGTGTGAAAAACTAGTTTTATTTAATGAGTGATGTGCGTGAAAACCTTAGAAAAAAATAAGTGACTACAACCATTATTCCTACAACCCTGGTTAATAACAACCCCTCAGGTTCGAGTGGTCTAAAGGCTCCAGACAAAGAGGAGACTCCCCCCGTGGGGAGATGTCATCCGCTTGGAATACCTCTAGAGGCACTCGCCAATTCTCGGCTTGAGGTCCCCTTAGGATCTCGCCGTCCCCAAACCCGGTGACGCTGTAAAGGTCATCTGCGACCAACAGCATACACACTCAAAAAGAAAAAAATGGTCTATATCTGGGACACCTTTAGATCACCTTTACCATCTAGATCCGGCTCGAAGGACCATAAAGATGTCTGGGACACCTTTAGTTACTTGATACTGTTAGGTTAGGTTCCGAAAATGTTGTTGTTACGTTAAATGATAAAACGATGTTGTTTGTACGAGTAATTTATTGCTACTGTTCAATTCACTTAATAAAAGGCATAACGAGTCGCGCGCAGCGCCGACGTTAGCAAAATACTTAAACATATAGAATTGTTCGGGTTTGCCCGTACAGTCTATAAGAATAATTGGGCTTCACCCCCACAGCGCTGGCTGGCATCAACTGCCTTGAAGGCAATAAGGGGATAACGAAATTAAATGTTCTTATTTTATCCCAATCAATAGCGGATAAATCTTTGTTAACATCTGATTAATTTGCTAGCTCGAAGTTAAATTTATTAATAGTTTTTTCTGCAAAATCGGAGAGGTGAAAGATTTACAGAGATTTCCAAAGTCGGGTGATGCGGATCTAGATAACCTAGGGGTTCATTGACAGCCGAAGTATTAATTGAATTATAAGATGATATTACCAGATAAAGAAATTTATTATTATGATTAAATATTGTTCAGTTCGAAACCGAACACTAAGGTATTGCGACATAATAGGATGACGCACGGGGCGGCTCGCGGTAATTGGGCCATAGTCCGCCGTGCACTTTAACACTTCAGTGCAATACATTTCGCGGTAGCAATTACATAAATTTTATAACAGTTGATTACATATTAAAATAGTTTTAACAATAACATTTTTTATACTTTTTCCTTTGACTTTAATTGAACATTTCTAAATATAAATGAACTTTGTGTCCAACTGTGGAGTAAAATAAAATATTTAACAGTTTAAACAGTGTATTTCTCCATTAGAACCCCACGCAGACTGATACCCCGAACATTGGTCCTTCGAGCGACCACCTCGCGCGTGTTTTTCGTGAATTGGGGTGGAGAACAGTGAACATTGGTGTACAGTGTGCGTGTATCAATCGGAGCTTGTTGAATTGTGTTACATTGTGTAACGACGAAAAGTCAAATAGTGACTGGTCAAGAGAACAATTTTTTGCCCTTAAAGGAATCCTCTCTCAGCGTTACTATAATGTTCATTCCGCAAAGTAGTTTTCAATTTTAAATTAACGGTCTTAGAGAGCGTCCTCATGCAATAGGGATTGTGACAAGATTTTCTTTTCTTCACCTTTCAGGTAGATTAAAAAAAAGTATTGAAGACGTATTTACTTTTTCACATAGTCAAAACACACAAAACAGAGATATATTAATTTGAAACGTTGCATGACGTTATGAGGTATTGGTACAATTTTTACTTACAAGTGACGTCACATGCCCTCACTCCCAAACTTTGACGTGTTTAATCTTTGAAATTTTCTGGTTGATTGACTAAATCAAACTTTGTGTCTATTATTTTTTATTAATTTTGCTGAAGAAATAAAAAATATCGTTTCTTTTCCGCCCTAATCACCCCTATTATGGTCGTGATCGAAGCTTTTCTTATATACAATCCTTTAACTACCACGAAAATATTTCGTTCCCTGGTATTCGAGACGGTTACGTCAGTTCTTGAGCTATTTGTATGTAATTTTTTTCATTAAGGTAAATTGTAAGGAAAGCCAGATTGTGCGCAATAATCTAATTTGGACGCAGAAACAAGAGACGCTAGCACTAAATCACCCCCTTTTGTATTCGTACAGTATTCAGAATTATTACGTTTTCGACTAGCGTACCTACAGAGGACAAAGGTTTTAAATAATGTTAGAATAAAATTACAGGTTCATTCCACTTTCCACAACGTCACATATTTAGTTACAAATGAGTTATTTGCAGTTAATTTAGTCGTATTAGTATAAGTTTGAGCTTTGACTTTCGTGTTAAAGTTTCAAACAAGCTTTTAGCGAAAGTTGTTAAAGAGTGTCGTGAATTTTATAGAACTTATATACATACTTACCTAGAATTGAGTTTTGTGTGAGTAGATGGTGTGTTGGAGGCTGTTGGAGTACCCCACCTCCGACTAACACGCTGTGGCTGGTGTGGCCAGCCAGCTGGGGAAAAAGGTTTTTTATTAAAGCATCTATAGATTTTTTAAATGCCATTGAGATCTGGGTGCCTAATTTTGATTGTAGTGAAGCGTAAATCATGTCTTCAACGTGATGATAATATTTTCTGAAAGATTAGGAATATTTGTCCACATCATGTAGCTATTTTATAGTTATATAAGATGTAGGATGATAAATTAAAAGTTGATTTCTCACTGAGGCCCGTATTATAGAAAGATTCTCAGTGATTGATCTAGTCTTGAGCATAGTTAGAAAGGGATGTCGCTATATTTAGCACATAGCGACATCCCTTTCTAACTGTACTCAAGTAAAGATCAACACTTAGTTGTCATTCTGTAATACTGGCCAGAAAGCACTACACATCACCACAAAATCAATCGTCTCTACTAAAAATAGTAGAGTCGATTGACTTTGTTCGTTCGCTCGAAGAAAATCGCTATTCGTGATTAACTCGACTGCAATGAGTGCTATCAATCAGTCATCGTCATCGGTGGGCAAACGCAGTAGTCATAATGACTAACTTATATTTCCCATATCTACAACCAGAATTCGTCTAGATTTCATTGCGACAATATATCGGTTTTTATTATTTTCCAGTTGAACTGAATAAAATACTATATTACTTGCTGTTGGCAATATCTAGCTCGATGGCACAAGTGCGCGTTCAGTCTCCAACTTTCGCAATGTCCGACTGTGGGATGGGTGACCAAAAATTTATTATCTTTAGTTTATCCGTACTTAGAAAGGTACATTTAGCAGTTGGCTGTATCGACAGTTATCAATCCGCACTTCCATACCCCAATCTTCCTATATTCCATCCATAGGAGAGGCTGGGGAATATTAAGAATAGGACCTCTAACTACCCTGATGTTGTGGGGCGGAGGCAGGCGCAAGCGAAGAGAGATGGCACGCGCCCGTCGCATGGTTGACCGGGAGATCCCCTGGGACCGTTGGTAGCCAACACAACGACTGTAGGGATTCTTACTAACCTAATGACGCGCAGACGATTGTCCCGGAGCAGAGAGTAGTCGCGGGTGGGGAAAAGTTACGCGCGCTTGCTGATTGGTTGAGCGGGAGATCCATTGGGAATCTTGGTCGTCTTCGTTGAAGCAAAAGTTGGTAGCAGAAGTTAAAGCAGGTGGGGAGAAGTCTCGCACGCTCGCTGCGTGGTTGGCCGTTAGATCTGCTAGGAAATAAATGAGTCACTGCCGCCGGGACTGTCTGTAACTAAAATAAACGAATATAGGGCTTCTAACTAACCTGATAATGCGGAGACGAGTATTCCGGAGCAGAAGTTGGTACAGGCGGAGAAAAGTAGAGCACGCTTGCCCCTAGTTTTACTGGAAGATGGGCGGACTGACGGGTGCTATAACAAACGAATGTAGGGCTTCCTACTAACCTGATGATGCGCAGACAAGTGTTCCGGAGCAGAAGTTGGTACAGGCGGGAAGAAGTCGCTTGCGTTCGCCATGTGGTTGACCGGGAAATTTGCTGGGACTGTTGGTAGATATAACAACCGAATGTAGTACTTTTAACTTACCTGATGATGCGCAGATAAGTGTTCTGGGGCAGAAGTTGGAACAGGTGGGGAGAAGTCGCGTGCGCTCGGCGCGTGGTTGACTGGGAGACCCGCCGGGAGGGGCTGCGCTGCCGCCGGAACTGTAGGTAGCTGCAACAAACAGTTGGGTAAAATCATAAACCATAATTTCTACAAAGGAGATTGCTCAGCTTCCATACATGTTTGGCCTAAAAACCAATAACCATGAAAAATTGTTTCCTACATTCGAAATTATATATAAATTACCGTAGAAACGAATATTATCGACGGCCACTCCTGAGAACTTCTATAAACCATATACACTGAATGATTTTGAGGTTATGTTTGCAAATAGGCACATAGGTATTAGAATAATAAAAACCAAATAACTTATATAGGAAAATAGGGCAATCAAGCCAAGTACCTACCGATATTATGTATTAGATTCAGGTATATAGAGCATGTAAAATAACAGATATGTGCATGTTTTTAAAAACACGAACAGAAACTGTGTGATGATTGTGAATGAGCCACAGATTAGAGAGAATTTTTAAACTCTCGTTAATCAAAGAAAGCTAAGAGCTGTAGGTTATACAGCCATATCTTCAGCAGCTTCATTATTTTTGTTATGTTTTCATTATAACCATATTTTAGATTTTTAGTGTATCACACCTTATAATGTGTTTATTTAGGTGTTTGGCAAAAAATGTACGGCAATAGACTTTATGATGTCGCCTACCATCTATATTAATTTTCTTAGCACATTTGTATGTAGTAAAAATGATAATAAAGTTGTGGATATTAATACCACCCGTGTAATAAAAAAAAATATTTTATCAATCTTTACAAAATAGATTTGTTTTGATGTTATATAAACAACCTCGATCAGTCTTTGTGAATGTTACTACACCCATAGCCAATAAAAATATTTCGTATGTTTTCCAAACCGGTAAAAATAGAAGTCCTTTTTTAAAATTAATATGTTATTTAAAGGTGGCCGTTAAAATCTAATGACTGTAAAATAAAGTATAAATTACGCCAAGAATTACTGTATATGTCAATATTTTATTTGCATTTAGGCCAATTTGACCAATCTCCTTTTCATTAGACATAATAAATTTCGTATTTTTTGATCGCTCGATTGCAACAAATAGTCTCAACCACTCGTTGCTTCGAGAATGTTGGAGGCGAATGGTAGAATAATAATTGTCATATTTGAGTCAGACGGCATGTCAACGTCAAAAGTTTTTATTGATAATTTTAAGTTGCATTCTAATTTTTAGTGCTTTCGGATAGCGGAGGACGCAATGGGATTCTGATAACAGGACCGAATTGTTTTTTTTTAGTATTTGTATTATAAATTCTTATTTTACTACTTGGCTAAGAAATATTGTTTAATAGGCGGGTAAAGTTTTTCTGTTATAGCCTACAACGCAGTGGTACTCAGTGTTACCAGGTCTGATTTTAAAAAATCGGGAAGCGTTATAGAAAAAAACAGTAGATTTATGGGAAGACCTACAAGAAAAAACAGTAGTTCATTTAGAAAAACAGAGGAACAGAAGATATTTCTGAAAAACAGGAAATCTCCTGTAAAATCGGGAGACCTAGCAACCCTGGTGGTACTCTTAGTGCTGCAAGTGTCCATGAGCGGCGGTGACCACTTACCATCAGGTCGACTGCTAACTCGTTTGCCTTCATAAACATAACAAATGTATTGTTGTATTGGCTGATGTCTCACCCTGTGCTTAGCCGCGTCCCTCAGAGGCAGCGTCTCCTCACTCCCACTCCTGGAGGAATCGGGGGGAGTGGGCCTCCTCTGCTCTGTCTGCGACGACAGGATCTGCATCTCCAGCATCTGCTCCTGTCGTATGTCGTCGTTGTAGTCCTGTGACAGAATGGCAAATAATTTATTAATACCAGACAGCATGAATTTTTCCAGGTTTGTCAAGTCAATAGTTTATCTTTTCGCAGTGGGGGTGGGGGGGGACGCCATTTCGAACAAAAATAGGCACTTTAAAGTTCAATATTTCGCAAACGGATGTCTAAATAGAAAAATAGTCTGAGAAACCTCTAAGCTATTTTAAAGGACCTATTCCACGATATCCTAATGGGATGGGGTAGATGATGAAAAAAACCATTCCCAGGTTACATGTAGGGGAGCTACCCTGTTTTTTTTAAAATTTTATTCTACCATTTTGTCGGCGTGATTGATATACATATTTCCACAAAATAACAGTTCTCTATTGCTAATAGTCTATAAGTAAAACCGGGCATGGACAGACGTACATGACAAAACTATAAGGGTTCCTTGTCATGACTACGGAATCCAAAAAAATGCGGGTTTTTGTCTTGGACGTATATATTTAGTTTTTGTTAGATCATAGCATCCGTATTGAAATAATTACTTGATTTTAATCGATGAAATGAAACATTGTTTTTCTAAATTGCTGTATTGATTTCCCGTATGCAGGGATTGCAATCCCGCAAAACAGGATCCCGAAATCCCGCGGGATCTCGCTGCTTTTTTAATCTGCTTGATCTCCATTTTCAAAGCGCGGATCCGTCGATCCCACTAATAAAAAAATTGGCACTAAAACTGCATGTAAATCGCAAGAAGCACGCGTGCGATCGGAAATGATAAAATAAATGTCATTTACTTCTTAAGAGCGTATTTTTAAAAGTTATCATCATAAGTTGATAGTATAGTAATAACGTCTTGGAGAATTTGTGATTTGATTATTAGTCATTATACCAATAAGGAGGAGCTCGATGGCGCGGGTGGTAAGCGCATTCTGCAGCGATCGTTGAAGTTCAGCAACTTAGGCAGTGGTCGGTCATTGGATGAGTGACCTAAAATCTTCTATTTCGACTTCCTCCGTGCTTCCGAAGGCATGTTAAGCCGTTGGTCCCGGCTGCATCTGCAGTCGTTAGCACCCGCCAATCCGCACTGGGCCCGCGTGTTGGGTCATGGCCCATTCTCCCTATTCCATCCATAGGAAAGGCCTGTGCCTCAGTAGTGGGGACATTAATAGGCTGATGATGATGATACGAATAAGGGTAAAATGAAACAAAACTATTAAACTATGACAAACATTTAAAGATGAATCTTAGAAACTAGATCCATACTAATGATTTATTAATAAAAAAGAAATAATTCATATTGCTAAATGTTTATTTCATCAAGCTACAGAAATTATTTCTGTCTTTAATATTTAATAAAAATATTTTTTTACACAAAAAAATGTAGTTTTAATTGGATTTTACAACATAATTTCAAAGATTTCAGTTCACTGTTCCCGCGCGTGATTGAGAAATCCCGCATATCAATCCCGCGGGATTGAATGAGCTGCGGGATTGAAATCCTTACCTGTATGATGCCACAAAATTTTTATTCCTTATTATTTTGTAAATTTGAGCTCTGACTTAGTTAAAGTAAACTGGATACCGTTGAAAGGTATTTCATTTCTTTGCTAATTGCTTATAAAGCATTCTTGAACGAGTTTTCGATCTTCTATATAAGTAAATTAATATAAAGTTCTCTCTCCTCAGAAAATATAATTATTAATAAGGTACATCTTTCGATCATTATTATGAAGTCCTAATAACATATTAAAATATTTGATAAAATATTGAATATCATTGCTTGAGTAATGTGGAATACTCTGTTGGAACGAAGTTAAAAATATTTATATGTATACCACCCACCAATCTGCACAAGGCCCGCATGGCGAGTCATGGCCCAATCTTACTATTTTATAAAAAAAACGTATCCTCTTGCGGATTGGGCCCAGTGCGGATTGGGCCTAGAGCGGAATGGGTCCAGTGCCCTCCCCTGTCCATCTCAATATCAGCAATTCCATCAAACGAAAGTATTCTAACCCCCATTCAGTACTGTCGCGTGTACTACAAATTGTATGGAAACCGAGTGTGTTAGAGTTCGAGTGTGGTGTGAGTGAGTGAGTGAGTGAGTGAGTGAGTGAGTGAGTGAGTGAGTGAGTGAGTGAGTGAGTGAGTGAGTGAGTGAGTGAGTGAGTGAGTGAGTGAGTGAGTGAGAGAGAGAGAGAGAGAGAGAGAGAGAGCGAGCCATTTTCTGTCTATCACGCTCTCCAGTCACCTTAAACATTATGGTTGACGTCCGGTATCGAGAACGGTGACGCGAAGTAATAAATTAGCGTAAAATGATGACCACCGGTCTCCCTTTTGGCGCGCGAAGTCTATATACTTGCGTTATCTATGCCTGTGGTCTCAGCAGGTGGGCGGGGCACCAGTATATTATAATACATACCTATGGCGTGATTGAGTAACAAACATACAAACTAAATATTTTTTTACTAGAAATAAATTCAGTTGACTTAAACAATAGACGGGACTCGATCCAAGTCCCGTCTGCTGCCTGGTCCACGTAGAATTTTTATAGTAAAATTTCCTTTAGACTTAAACATCCAGCAGGTAAATGCTTAAAATATCAAAATATAAACATACAAACTTTTATTTAATATCACCCTATTCTATAAAAAAAATGTCCTAGCCACTCAGCAGTGGGGCCGCGTGATGGGCCATGGCTCGCTCCCCCGATTCTGTCAACTATTTAAAAAAACTTTAACTCTTAGATTAAAAGAAAAAGGGAAGATACGGCACTCGCGGCTCAAAAGTTAACCGTTTAAATTGTGGTACATGACCACAATTCGCTTTAGTTACAATTCGACATTCAAACACGCTGCATATTCAAATCTGCACTCAATATAACAATATTGCGTATATTCTGTGTTAATAAAGATAAAAAAATGCCTTCTATGCTTTTATAAAGAACACAAATAGTTCAAGATCAAATAACAGATGCCATGGCATTTCTTTTTTTTTCGTAAAACTGTAAAAATATTTTTTTTCTCGAAAAACACGATTTTTCGTGAATATTATTTTCGTTACAGTCCCGCTACGCTGAAGAGTACAGTTCTATCTCGCTCGCTAGATTGAATGGTTATTTACATAAATGTGCGTGTGTGAGAGTTGCTTAAGTAGTTGAATCGGAGCATATTTTATTTGATGCTAGTACGAGCGTACCATATAGTCGTATAATCTTTTTGTTTTATTCTAAGCTTTAACCCAAGCCCACAGCCATACCACCGTTAGTGGTTGCCCATCCCGCTTCCCACCAAGCTGCCTAGCTTGGTTGTGATGGAAAAATCTTAAAAATCTAAAATCAATCTGCCATACCACCATCCCACTACAGATATAACAACGGAAACTTCTTTCCAATTCTGAAGTTTTACGTCAGTTTCGTCAAATGAACATGCAACTTAATATTTAAAAAAATCCAATTGATGGATTTATTTCTTGTAAGATTTTCTTTAGATATCTTTATATATATAATTCTTCTGTGGGTGTGTATGTCACTGAACTTCTCTTAAACGACTGGACCGATTTTGATGAATTTTTTTGTGTGTGTTCAAGGGGATCTGAGAATGGTTTAGATTCACAATTTTGTCCGCTGGACAGCCCCTATTTTTTAGGGCGGTACGAAGTTCGCTGGGTCAGCTAGTCTATATATAAAACTCAAAGGTGACTGACTGACATAGTGATCTATCAACGCACAGCCCAAACCACTGGACGGATCGGGCTGAAATTTGGCATACAGGTAGTATGTAGGCATCCGCTAAGAAAGGATTTTGATCAATTCTACCCCGAAGCGAAGCGAGGACGGGCCACTAGTAAAATATAAATGAAGCAGTTTAATACTTGAAATAAAATAAACTATGTATTTATTTTTCACTCACTGGTACTAGAAACCTTCTGAGCTCGGCGAGTGCGTAAGCGATCCGAGCGTGCGCCTCTGCGGGCGTCGCGAACGCACTAATCTCCACGTGAAGTTCGTCCGACAAGTGAGCGAACTTCGGATCGCCAGACACCCTCAACTCCTCCTCCTGTAGATGAAAGAAAAGGGTATATAACGATGCGAGTGATATTTTTGGCGTCGCAAGCGTCTAATGCAGGCTATGGTGGCCGCTTACCATTCAAGCGGGCCAATTCATAATTATACTTAATAAAAAATATGCCTTACATGTATTCGTTTAAAGAAGATTATGCCAAATGAATTTCGGAGCAACAAGGTTCTGCCAGATAGAGGGAACTTACCTAGACCACATAGTTGCATAACATCATCGTTGGTCAAACGCACTCAAGTCTTTTATGAAGAAAAAACGGGTTTAACACATTTGCTCGAAAAATGCGTTTAGGGATGTTGTATACATTGTTCTAAAGTTCAAAATTACGGACACGCTCCCATATATGTACAGCGCCGTGCGTTTTCTTACCTGTATTTTTTATTTCGATCGAACCTCCAGCTTACTATTCAGCGGGCCATTAGATTGTTCGACACCCTTTTACCATAAAAAAAAATTATTTAAATTATAAGAAATAGAATTTTGATTTTCGGAGTTTACTCCTTAAGGATCGATTTGCATATATAAAGGGCCCGGTATGAGAAAAATGTGAGGAGTGAAATCTATCGATGAATGACCTCGTTACGTTTTTACTGTCTACGCTGTAGCAGCCGTAGTGCTACACCGTAGCACAGTATCGTAGCGTTCCTTTATTTATGCACATCTGAAACTGACTATTGTAAAAAGTTTAATGTAAAATATTTCGTCGATTAGTTATAATAAATGTACCTATATGAAATGAATAAATATATATTTATATATGTATATTATTTTCATTCATTTGTTCATTTACCCTTTCATACAGTATCAATCTTTTTTAAGTTAAATAAACTCTTTTTGCGTCTGGTTAGACTATCGAACTTAAGTAGTAAACTCCAGTCGTGCGTCGGAGCTGACACACACATTTTTTGTTTTCGTCTTACGATCAGGACATGTGGCCTGTGATGCGATCAGCCCACGTGTAATGACGCGAGTTTAACATTTTTTACCCATACAAAAAAAGTGTACAACGCCGCTAAAGAAGTTTTCACTTCAAAAATATGAACAAATTCTTGTAATTGCTCTGCACTGATCAGTGAGGAAATCTTGGGGCAGTCCTGTGCTCAGTGGCTCAGCCACAGATCTAGATAGAATAAGAAGCCGCGTGTACAACAAATTGTATGGGAACCGAGCGTGTCAGATTTTATAAAAGTGGTGAAAAACCATGGGGCCCGGTCACCTAATTCATATATATAGCTTTTGCAGCTTAATATGACATAGTAAGGTAAATTTTAAACATTAAATTGACGTCCGGTATCGGAAACGGTGACGCGAAGTAATAAATTATCGTAAAAGGCTGACCATTGGTCTCCGTTTTGGCACGCGATGTACATACACTTGTGTTATCTATTCCGATCTATGCCTGTGGGCTCAGCAGTGGGGTACCAGTATTTTATAATATTAAGTATTTTGACGACCTCCGTGGTCGAGTGGTTTATACGCCGGGTTTCATGGTGTCGCCGACTTGAGAGATCCCGAGTTCGAATCCCGGTGGGGGCAGATGTTTGTGTGATGAATACGAGCATTTGTACTCCAGTCATGGATGTTTAATATGTATTTATATAAAAATATTCTTATATATGTACAGTATATGTATTCTATCCGTTACCCTAGCATCCCTTAACACAAGCCTTACAGTGCTTACTTTGGGGCTAGGCTAATTGGTGTGAGTGTTGGACATATTTATTTACTATTTGTTAATATTTTGTTATTTGCGTGATTGAGTAATAAACTAATAGGAGAAGCTCGATGGCGCAAGTGGTTAGCGCGTTCGGCTGCGATCATTGAAGTTAAGCAACTTCCTTAGTGGTCGACCAGTGGATGAGTGACCAAAAACTTTACTATCTCGAGCTCCTCCGTACTTCGGAAGGCTTGTTAAGCCATTGCCATCGTTAGCACCCACCAGTCCGCACTGGACCCATGTGGTGGGTCATGGCCCAATCTCCCTATTCCATCCAAAGGGAAGGCCTGTGCCCCAACAGTGGGGACATCAATAGGCTGATGATGTGTAATAAACATACAAACTTGCACATTCGTAATATTAGTAGCAGTGGACCCGTGCGAAACCGGGCGGGTCGCTAGTCTATAATATTAGCATTGGTTACCTTCTGCCGGTCCTTCATGGACCCCCGCCCTAGCACCGCCATCTTGCACATGGTGTCTTCCTGTAGACGCTTCAAGGAGTTTCCCTTGGGTCCCAAAAGTTTTCCGACGAAGTTGAACTGGGAACAAGGAGACAAATTAATTATTTAAAATAGGAGCAATATTTTTAATAGCCCAAAATATAGAACATTTTAATTTGTAAGCATTCAACTGCTAGGCGTTTAAATCTAAAGAAAGTTTGCTAGACAATGTTAAAAATTAAGAATAGGGTATTTGACAGTGTTAAAAATAAAGTGCCAATTGTTAGCATTTGTGTTTAGAATGAATATTGGCAGGGATTTTTACTATTTTTACAAAAAAAAAAACATAATTTCACTAAAAAGTAACGAATAAGATAATAGTTTTCTTAGCTATTGTCACGTGACCCAAAACGCTTGGGATTGGCGGAGCCTAAAATGACGTCACGCGCAAGTAAACTTCCGGTTAAAGTGACATTACATTGTATCGTTTGACGTTTTAATAACAGCCGTGTGACGCCACACACTAGTAAGACGGCATATTGTCCAGAGAAACGTTTTTATGGACTCCATAAACATTAGTCAATAACGCGAGATCGTTTTCTAAAACTTGTCAAATACCCTATTTTGTAAGTCGGTATGGTAGTTTACCCGCCTTTGTAGGAGCCAGTATTTACTTTTGTTTTTAATGTTAGAGGAAATAACTGAATTTCAATCGATAAGCGACGTCCATTTTGTACCCAGTACCTCTAGCATAAACCGTTTTAGAATTCGAATAGTTTGCGAGTGCGAAATTTCAATGTCAAATTTTGTATGGAAACTTGAACAGCAGCGCCACAAAGTACGCAATAAGAACTAAAAAAACAGTACCCGTAGCACGAACCAATATCGAATTCGTATCGTTTGCGAGTCCGAAATGTCATTGTCAAATGTGTACTGATTTTTAGTTCTCGTTACGTACTTTGTACCGCTGCTGTTCAAGTTTACATATAAAATTAGACATTGACATTTCGGTTTGCAAACTATTCGAATTCGATAATGGTTCGAGCTAGGGGTACTGTACACATTTGTCACTGACATTTCGGACTCGCAAACGTTACGAATTCGTATAGGTTTGCGCTAAGGGTACAGCTTTCGACAATACTAGTAGCTTTCAAAATGAACTGACAGATGTAAAGGGGTGTTCACCGCGTATGCGCGTCTTTTTCAGTGGATTGAAGATGTGGATGTGCCTAATTAATAAATTATTTTTTTAAAGTGAAACGAGTTGTTTGTCTAGCATTTCTTATGCTGCAAGGCAGCGCCATCTCTTAGCACTGTAGGAAACCCACAATGTCAAATGAATACCTTTACAAGTATTAAACATTTCAGTGCATCCGCCTGGATAGCGGAGGGTGCATAATCGAGTCCCGTCTGCAGGCTAGTCCGCGTGGATATTTTCTATTAAAAATTTCTTTAGATTGAATTCATTTAAGCAGTTAAATGCTTATAAAAATAAAATTATAACTAAAACGAGTTTTACCTATTAATTTTTACATGTAGGATATATAACTGACTGAGGAGTTCAATGGCGAAATGTTGAGCGCGTTTAATCTGATGAGCAACATCGCAAGAGCTGCTAATAGAATTAATTAAAGACGACTGTTTAGGAATAGGGGTAAGAATCAAGGCGAGTCAACCCCAAGAAAGCTTCCGATTCAAACACGCCCTACTCAACCTTACTCAACAGCCACTGCAACAGTTTATTCACATAAAAAACTTATCACTCTCGTGAAATTACCAGCGGTTCATATAGTTAAAAAATTCACCATTTATCAACTAACTCTATACATCATGAAGGAAAATTTCTATACATACTCGCATAAAATATCAAGTAGAGTACTGAGCAAACAGTCTAGCTGCTCTGGAAGTTCAAACTGAGCTTGAAACTTAATAGATAATTAGAATTCTCGGCAGCTATCGATGCAATGAGCTATGATGGGGAGCAGGGGGTATTAAAACGGAATTATTAATTATTCCACGCTGCAGTGAAATACAAATTGACCAATTACAACTAGGTCTGGGTAGCGTAGGGTCCCGTGTGTTTTACTTGTCATAACCTTCTGTTATATATAGGGATGATGACTATTTTTTTTCTTCGTTTATCAGGTATTTTATCAAAAAGTATTAGACACGTATTTTTTCTTTTTTCACAGAATATAAACATTGCAGAGATATATTGATTTGAAAATTCGCATGACGTCACGTTTTACAATTAAACAAGTACAATTTTCACTCAAAAGTGACGTCACGAGCCCCTACTCCCAAACTTTGACGCGCTATAACTTTGTCATTTTTTGGTTGATTGCCCAAAAAAAAAATACGAGTCCATTATTTTTTGTTCATTTAATTGACGGACTTAATAGAATTTCGTTTACTGTACCACGTCATCTCCCCTATTGTCGCGTGTGACGCTCGTGAAGCTTGTAGCATTTCAACCTTCGCCGAGTTACCCTCCGAATTTCATGCTCGTCGGGAAGAGCTGCGCATGCATCCCTCACACAGACACACACACGCACATATGTGTCCGAAAAGAAGTTTCACTACATAAACCTTTGAATAAATTATAGATTTCATAATGATAATATAAAATTTCAACTGATAAAACTTTTTTTTTTATGCATAATAGGCAATGCGTTTGACCACAATCTCACCTGATGGAAAGTGATGATGAGGCCTAGGATGGTACACGCCTGCCTAGAAGATGCCTGTTCACTCTGGCCTTGAAGATGTCCAGATTATATTGGTCCGCGAAAACAGACCTCGGCAAGGAGTGCCACTCCCTAGCCGTTCGCATAATGAAGGCCGAAGCAAATCGCTTCGTGCGAATGGGAGGAACTTCGACAACATAAGGGTGGAAGCCCTCGCCGCGCCTAAACTAAACTAAACTTGCAGTAAATATTAATATGCAAAATTGCTCAGAATTCTTTGATGTGTGTATAATAAAGAAAACGGTACCTATGCTATGTTATTCCACATCGTTGCAGCGCTGCAGCGGTAATACAAATACACGAACAAATTATGTGAAAATTACAGCTATAAGTATAAAATTTCAGTTCGTGAGATCCTCTGACAGACGCACGGTACGCGAAGACCGAAACCTAAGGCACTTGTCCCATTCCGATAATGAACGAGGAGCGATTAGAGTTAGAAACTAGATAATAGTTGAGGATCGGCGAGAAGTGAGTGCAGACCCGTCTTTCCCAGTGGGCACTTTGGGCAAGTGCCCAGGCCCCGCGATCGATAGGGGGCCCCCTCAGATCAAATACAAAGTCCCTAGTTCCTGTTAAATCACCAAACGGAAGTCATAGGGGCCCCATTATCTTAATATGCCCAGGGCCTCCAATAGGTCAAAGACGGCACTGAGTGAGTGTGTAGTTTCGATGTAGCTAGCTGTACTTAACTTTTGTTAATTAATAATATTAATGTGATGGAAGTTGACATCAACACATGTTTTAAATTTTTGATGTCATCTTTCAATTGACGACACTGTATGAAACAGAACAGGGAGAAAAAAATAGCCCTTGTTGAGTTTCTTGCCGGTTCTTCTCAGTACAAGGTCTCCCGCCGTAGATTTACGAACCGATGGCGTAGCGTTTGATTTTCACAAAAGCTTGTAACAGCCTAGACTGAATAAAATAAATATAAATAAATATTTCCAACACTCACACCAATTAGCCTAGTCCCAAGCTAAGCACTATAAGGCTTGTGTTATGGGATACTAGGGTAACGAATAGAATACATATACTGTACATATATGAGTATATTTATATAGAAAAAAAAATATTAAACATCCATGACTGGAGTACAAGTGCTCGTATTCATCACACAAACATCTGCCCCCACCGGGATTCGAACCCGGGACCTCTCGAGTCGGTGACACCATGAAACCCGGCGTATAAACCATACGGCCAAGGAGGTCATCGTCGAATAAATGAGTTTGAGTTTGATGTCTGGGCTATAAGCGAGTGTGCGAGTACGACGGGCGATTTATTTGTGTCATACATTCATGGAAACAGTTCCGAACAAAGATGCATGCGTGCACGTTCTGTCGGTCAAGCTAGCTTCGCTGAGCGAGTATCGTTGAGCGAGTATTATCTTTAACAGGTCTTGTCTCTCAACGAAAACCTAGTGGAGCGAGTTCTCGCCGATAATGTAAACAGTCATCATCATCAGCCTATTAATGCCCTCACTGGTGGGTCACAGGAGATTGGGCCATGACCCACCACGCGAGCTCAGTGTGGATTGGTGCTAACGACTGCTGATGCAGCCGGGACCAACAGCTTAACGTGCCTTTCGAAGCACGAGGAGCTCGTGTGATTTTCGGTCACCCATCCAAAGACCGGCCACTGCTAAAGTTGCTCAACTTTAACGATCGCAGCCGAACGCGATAACCACTTGCGCCATCGCAGCTCTTCAAGCGATCAACTATTAATATATCCATCTCTTATGTTTCCACAGAATGTATAATTTAATGTACGTTTCTTGAGCGAAAAAATAGCCGATAGTTAGTCGCTTCCTCGCCAGCGGTAGGATAACAGCCTTAGTTTAAATATTACCTTTTAACGACGGAACTCTAAAATGTTGTTAGCGTCAGCTGCTAGTTTTCCCAGCGACACACTTGAGAGGTTTAATGGAAATTATATTAGCCTCATGTACCTTTTCTATGTTGTATGTTGCAGACGGTTTTAAACTAACATAAGTGTTACCCTCTTCAATTTAGCTCTCCGTGTATCCTCTAACGGATTTTATTAAATAGAACGAGTAGGCAAAAAAGCACTCTAAGTCTACTATTTAATGACTATTTTCTGATTGTTTATATCGAAAAAGAACCACAAACCTCATTATTAAAACAAAAGTTTCAAAGCAACTTCGTCCGTGAAAACATTATTTTTTGAGACTTCCTTAGGAACCTAAAATTTTTCCGGGATAAAAATTAACAAACTGAAATAGTTATGGTTTTATTTATTTTTTAAGCATTTAACTGCTAGATGTTTAAATCTAAAGAAAAGTTTACTAGAAAAAAAATCCACGCGGACCAGGCAGCGGACAGGACCCGAACC